TCCGTTTTGAACAGGACTCGCTGCCCGCGCCGCCGCGGCCTGTGTCCATTCGAGACAGAAGGCCGCCTGCCCACCAGCGGCCGCTGTTGGTTTGGGGCAACATGTGTTGTTGGGCAGTGTACCCGTTCTTTCCGTACCCGTTTCGGGCGTCCAAATCATGCTGCTTGACCGCCCGACGCTTCACGACCTCGCTCCCCTGACCGCTCCTGTCTCGCTCCAGGCAGCTTGCCCATAAATGCTTCATTGTACCTCGTGCGCGCTCCCTGCTTGGGCCGATGTTGAAGTCAGGTGATGCAGCCAGCGCAGGCTGCTGACGCTGGCGAAGGCACAGCTGTGCGCTTCTCGTGCTAGCAGGAGCAACCTGCCTGTATCCTCCCTCTTCCTCCTCCTCCTCCTCCTCCTCCTCCTCCTCCTCCTCCCCCTCCTCCTCCTTCTCCTTCTCTCCTCTTCCGCCTCCTCCTCCTTCCCCCTTGCGTTCTCCTGGGATCTCCAGTGGATCCTTGAGCACTCGGCTTCAACACACCTGCCAGCCCTTTTCAGAGCGTCCGTGTTGCCCAGCTTACGCTAGTTAATGCTTTCACATTTGGGGGGCGAGCGGGGGGAAGCATGAGCAGGAGCAGGAGGAGAAGGATCTTGCGTGGACCTTTGACCGTCTTTGTTCGCATTCGGCGTCCACTCTGTTGGGCTTTCGGCTTGCTGCTCGCAGGGCAGCGCGGTAGGGAGGCCTGGACTTCTACGCGCGTTGAATCGACCGGATTTCGAGTCCGGTTCTGGATTTTGAGCCGTCTCTGTGTTTAGCTAGCAATGACTGCCAGCTCCAGCGGCGCAATCCTGTTGTTCTCTCGATGAGCGACGCAATCTGTAGCTCGTGTGGGCGAGGTGCCCAGGCTGCGCAGTTCTTCGCCTGTGCCGCCCATTTCATTCTGCCGCCACCGCCTCTCTGGATCGCAGGGGTCTCGGATGCTCCGGTCTTGAGGCCCGCGCGGTCCTCTCGAGAGGCGCAGCCTCCGCACTCGATCTGCAGGCTGAGTGCGCCGCCTGGGCTACCCGTCTGCCTATACACCTTAGGCGATGCTTAAGAAAACTTAAGTTTTCGGCCAGAGTCTCGATTATTCTTAACTTTTCAATGTGAGCCACAAGATTTTGATAGAAGTTCTGGGTTTAATTCAATTTCTGAGACTATGAATTTCTTAACCCATGATTTCTAAAGCATTTCGCAGGGTGTAGGCGTGCGCCTCCTGCCCTCGGCCGTCTCCCGGCCGACATCTGCCGCCCCGGCCGAGGTCTGTCGATTCCGTGGGCGGTTCTATCCGACGTGGATCGTCGGCTCGGTTCTGGGGCCGCCCGGCCCAGAGCGTGGTCACAACCGGTTTTTTTTTTTTCGGTCACGGCGCATGCCCCAAGTCGCAGCAGCTCGTGGTCCTCTCCCTCTGCCCCATCTCCCTTCGCTTGCTCTCTCCCTCCTCGCCCCCGCCCCCTGCCCCCTCGTCCCCGCAGCGTCTCTCCCACACACTCGTGGAGACTGCTTGCAGTGTCCAGAAGGTCTCGGTGCCTCCTACGTGACGTGCTGTTGTACATGGGTGCGCACAAAGGAAGAAGAAGAAGAAGAACAACAACAACAACAACAACAACAACAACAACAACAACAACAACAAAAGGAGCTTCCAGGGCGGTCTACGGTCGGGAGCTTCTGCTTAGCGTACCGCGGCGGCAGCCCCGGCGTCAGCCTGTGCCTTGCAAGCGTGCCCCTCCGCACTGTGACAAGAGCGCCCCTCCGCACTGTGACAAAAAAGCACGACGGGAGGTTTTCTCCCGGAGGCCTCCACAGGGCAAACATCGATTCAGGATGAAAAGTCCTTGAGGGGGAAGAGGAGGAGGAGGAGGAGGAGGAGGAGGAGGAGGAGGAGGAGGAGGCGGAGGAGGCGGAGGAGGCGGAGGAGGCGGAGGAGGCGGAGGAGGAGGAGTTCAGACCTCGAGGGGTCAGCGTTGTGAAACGATCATGGCATCGGAGTTCTGGGGATAGCGCGTCGCTCCTCTCCGTGCGGCGGGAGGCCAGCAAGAGCTCGGGACGTTGACGCCTGGGTGCCGCGACGTGGCTAGCGTGTCGCACCGAGGCGCGGTGGGCTAGAGCTGGCGCAGCGGCACGCTGATCAAGCGTTCCTGACCGTGTGCCGACGCCAGACATCCGAGCACAACAAACATAAGCATACACTTTTGGCGGTCCGCGCGGATTTCTTGGGTCCGCGCTGAGACCCCCCTCGCGGCGCCTCCGGCGCCGCCCCTGGCGCGCTCCGCGCGCCAGGGAGGGGGCCCAGCGTAGATCCGAGAAGCCCGCGCGGACCGCCAAAAGTTTCTGTTCATGCCTGTCTCTGCTGTTCTTCCTCGACAGGGTCTAGGGGCAGCATCTCTTGGAAACTGGACGGCTCCAGAGAAGCCACTCCCACTTGGACAGGAGGCCGCCCCCCCCGCGCCAGCCCCCCGCGTGCGCCCGGCCAGCTCCGGACCCCACCTCCAACCCGAGCGACGCCGGGGCCCAGCGCAGATCCAAGAGACTCGCGCGGAGCGTCAACCGCTTCTGTCTGTGCATCTGTTTTTCGGGGCGGGCGAAAGGGGGGGATTGGGAAAGGGGGGGTTACGAAATCTGCTGCATGCAGCTGGTTTCGGCCCCACCGAGGGGCCCATTCCTCGATACATGGGCACCTCCGGCGCCGGGAGGCGCCGGGAAAAGCAGCTGCAAGAGCTGCTTCTCCCCCCCCCCCCCCTTTGCTATCCCCCCCTTTCGCCCGACCCGAGTTTTTTGTTCCTCTGCCGGGCAGGCGTGTGTGTGTGTGTGTGTTGCCCCCCCCCCCTGGGGCCTCGAAGCTTCTCGCCTCCCCAGGGGCTATTGGCAGCGGGGGCGCAGGGCTCTGCGCGTGCCGCCGCCTGCTCCGCCGGGACGTCCGGCCCCCGCCTCTCGACTCCGGTGCTGCGTGCCTCGTGCGAATCCCAGACCTCCTCGCGTCGTGAAAAAATCACGACGGGAGGGTTTTCTATATTTTCGGCCTCCGGGGGCCCTCCCCGGGCCTCGGGAGCGTCAAAAAACGACTCAGGATGAAGAACCGGTCCCGGGGAAGGGGTCCAGACCTCTGCGGGTCGACGTTGTGAAAAAATCACGACGTCGGGGGTCTGGGATTCGTGCTTCCGAGACAGCCGCGCCGTCGCTCGGGCTCCGCGGGGGTCCGTGGAGCGGCCGCCGCGGCCCCCCCCTCCTGAGTTACGTTGAAGGTTACGTTGGAGTTACGTTGGAGTGGATCGATCTGCTTCAGAGTGACTCGTTCGAGTGACGTTGGAGTTACGCTTGGGGTGCTCTCTCCGTCCCTCCTCCGGGGCCTCCCGGAGGAGCGGCTGCTCTCCGCCGCGGCCGGGGGCTCCCGCGTCGGAACGCGGGCTCCAGAGGGCCGATGCGGAGCGGCGGTGGGCCGGGGGGGAGGGCCGCCGCTGTCTCCATGGGGGTTGGCCCGAAGGGGTGGTGCAGTAGATTCGGTGCAACAGACTTGTGGGGCTGCAACACATTCCCAGACCCCCTCGAGTAATGAAAAAATCATGACGGGAGGTTTTTCCTACTTTTCGGCCTCTGGGGGCCCTCACCGGGCCTTGGGAGCGTCAAAAAACGACTCAGGATGCAAAGCCGGTCATGGGGAAAGGGTCGGGACCTCTGGGGGTCGACGTAATGAAAAAATCATTACGTCGGGGGTTTGGGTTTGGGGCGTGCGATACATTGCGGGGCGCAAATGCATTGCTGTATTGTCGCGTGCAGCACATTACTTGCAACACAATGCAATGCAAGTCTCCGGCGCAGTACATTTGCAATACAATTGCCCCAAATCTATTGCACCACCCCCTTTCAGCTGGACCCCCTTTTGGGTCACCCGAACTCAAGTTCTGCGTCACCCCAACATACTACTAATACTATGTGTGTGTGCGTCCCCCCCCCCAGGGGCGACGCGCGCACCGAGAACTCTGATAGTGTATGCGTCGTGGCGGGCGCTTTCTGGCGACACCGCTCGGGAAACGAAATACCACAAGATGGGTACACTAGATGTTCGGGTCGGACGCGCGCCTCCAAGGAGGACATAAGTACTAGTATGCGCCAGCGCGTCCCATCAAGTAGCCATCGGTCGTTGAAAGCAGGTATTCTTGGATTCCCAGACTCATTCTGCTTCGAGCGCCCTCCTGCTCCAGTGATCGAGTGGCTTCCCCGGTCCCGTCCTCTTCAGCGGGCGCGCGGAACCCGATCTGCCCTCGGCGCCCTCCTGCTTCCTGTTTCTGCCTGCTCCTCCCGACCGATGGGCCAGCCCTCCTCGGAGGTCCACCCCCGATCGCCCGTGCCTCTCGCAGAGCGCCGCCCGGGCGCCGCGCCCTGCCCCCGGAGCGCCCGGTCTCGTCATCGAGGGCCTGCGCCTCCCGCCGATCTGCCAGCGGCGTCTCGCCGGTTCTGGGTCGAGGCTGAAGTCGGGCGTGTACCCCTACAGGGGGATTTCCGACGACAAATAAGAATGCTCAAAAATACACCAAAAAGGTCCACAAATATGCAGAAACTAGTCCCCAGACTATTTCTGGGATTCTTTTTTGATTATGTTGGGGGTATTTCTCCTTTTTCGTCGAAAACCCCCCTGTAGGGGGACAGACCCGACTTAAGTCGAGGCCTCCTTCCCCGAGCCCGTTCCCACCCCCCGCAGGGGTCGGCTCCGCTCGATGCCTCCGACGTTTCGATGTCTCGACCTTGTTGCTGCTGTTGATGCTGCTGCTTCTGTTGTTCTTGTTGTCGTCGTTGTTGTTGCCGTGGCTGCTGCGGTCATAGGTTTCGGCGTCGGGGTCATCAAACATGGGTCCGGGAGGAGGGGCTCTTCCTGTGGGAGGGTGGCGAGACCTCTAGGGCTTTAGGGCCCGCGGGGTGAACACCACCACCACCACCACCACCACCACCACCACCACCACCACCACCACCACCACCACCACCACCACCACGACCACCACCACCACCACCACTAGGAACAACAGCACCAACAACAACAAGCACATCTCGTTGGATGCTTGGGCCTTCCTCTTTGGAGGGTGCCTCTCCCTCTCCGCTCTCTCCCGCCCCTCCTCTTCCTCCCGCCCCCTTCCCCCCCACCCCCCCGCGTCGATGGCCTATAGGCTCCATCTTCCCTCTGTCCCCCGCTCCTGGAGGTCTGAAGAGGAGGCCCTGCAGGGCTCTCGCAAGCACCGGGGCTCCCGGGGGCTTCCAGTGGGCCCTCGATGTCTGCTTCAGCTTTGCAACATGTTCTGGGGCTAGAGCCATTCAGAACCACGCATTCTGGAGCCGCCCCCTCAGAGCCGCTTGAAGCCCTTGGGCCGCCCTGGGGCCTTCTAGGGCTTGGACAACCGTCCCTCGACCGCCGGAAACATGGTACTGGTACTCGTCCTCCCCTCACCCCCTCCTCCGCCACTCCCTCTTCTTCTCCTCCTCCTCCTCCTCCTCCTCCTTCTCCTCCTCCTCCTCCTCCTCTTCCTCCCCCATCCCTCTTCCATACAGGTGGCTCCTCCCTGTCGCACCACTCAGACGTGACATCAGGGCGGGCGCTGGTTTCGCCTGAGACTTTGTTCTCCGACCCTTCTGCGTTGGGTTCTCGTTCTGGATGATGCACTGCGGGCGCGACCTTCTCCTTTCGCATCCCCTTCTCCTCTCTTCCCTCCTCCTCTCCTCCTCCTCCTCCTCCTCCTCCTCCTCTTCCCTCCTCCTCCTCCTCCTCTCCTCCTCCCTCCTCCTCCCTCCTCCTCCTCCTCCTCCTCCTCCTCCTCTTGCTCCTGCTCTCTCCTGCCCTCTGCCTGGCATGTACCTGCCTGCCAGCCTGCCTCTTACCTCGCCGTCCTCTGTTACCCCGTCGCCGCCGGAGGGCTGCGACCTGCGAACCTGTCGCCACGTTCGCGGGCTGCTGGATGGCCCAGCGGCGCAGGGCCCCGCCGCAGGTGCAGAGCAGACCTCGCCATCCTTTCGGGGGGCTGCGCAGTGTGACACCGTCACCACTTGCGAGGGCTTGTAGGGGGCTCCGCCAGAGAAAGGCCCCGCCGCAGATTCAGATTAGACCTCGCCATCCTTGGGGGGCTGCGAAGTGTGACACCGCCGCCACTTTCGAGGACTGCTGGATGGTCCAGCGGAGTGAGGCCCCGCCGCAGATTGAGATTAGACCGGGCCGTCCTGATGGGGCTGCGAAGAGCGAAATTGTAGCCCTGTTCGAGGGATGCTGAGGGGCCCAGCGGAGTGATGCCCCGCCGCAGATTCAGATTAGACCTCGCCGTTCTTGGGGGGCTGCGAAGTGTGAAATTGTCGCCACTCGTGAGGGCGCTGCAGATTCAGATTAGACCTCGCCATCCTCAGGGGGCTGCGAGCTACGACGTTGTCGCCACTTTCGAGGGCTGTTGAAGGGTCCAGCGGAGTGAGGCCCCGCCGCAGATTCAGATAAGACCTCGCCATCCTTGGGGGGCAAGTGTGAGATTGTCGCCAATTTCGGGGGGTGCCGGATAGTCTAGCTGGGTGAGGCCCCGCCGCAGATTCAGGTTAGACCTCACGATCCGTGGGTGGGTGCGAAGAGTGACATTTTCGCAACGTTCGGGGGCTTCTTGGGTCCAGCATACTGACGTCCTACGTATATTCAGATAAGCCTTCATTTCCTTTCCCGCAGGCCGCCCGAAGACCTGGCGGCGCCGCCTGTGGGCGATTAGTTCCCGCGCTGAAAGGTGCAGGGGGGAAACGGAGAAGCTGACAGGCGAGCTCGGCCTCGCTCGCTTTTTTCACCAACATTGAATCGCCGATCCGTTCGGGCGCCAGAGCGACATGCCGCGGGCCGCGCTGCTTGTCCAGCGTGCCACTGGAAAGTAGTCGCCACTCTCCATCCTCATGCTGCCTCTTTCATTGTCTCCCCCTTCCTCCTTCCACCACCTCGAATGCTGCTGTCGCGTTGCCGCTCTGGCCCCTCTTCCGTTCTTCCAGTGCCCCTGGTTCCCACTCCCATTTCCTCTTCGAGCCTGGGGCCTCCGCCCTCGTCCTGTTGCTGCTGCCCCGTGAGTCGTGCAACGCGCGCGCCTCCCAGATAGCCTGCGCAATCACGACAGATCCTGCGTTGTCACCAGCCAGTCCTCTTCGGGACCAGCTCCTCTTTCGGGGGCCACACGCGAACCCTACCCCTACCCCCCACGATTTCTGAGGGGGTGGGGGTGGGGTTCACTTCGCTCGGGAGCTCCCGAACGAAGTGAACCCCACCCTCTCCCAGGGGGGAGGGCTTCTTAGAAGCACCCCTGCTTCCTAGAAGGCGCGGGCCTTCTTTGTAAATGCAGGGCCACAGCCTTCTGAGAAGCAGCCTCCTTCTGAGAAGCCCCCACCCCCTTGTGCGCGCCGCCCATCGTTGCTGCCGCCGCCGCCTCGGCCCCCCCCCCCCGGCGCTGGGCCCCAGGCCGCCGCGGACCGGGCCCTCGGCGAGGCCCGGGCGTGCGCGGCGGCCGGGCGTGCGGAGGCGGGGCGGGCCCCCGTCGTCGTCGTCGTCGTCGAGCCAGGCCGATCCGACCGCTCCTCCTCCTGCTCCTGCTGCTCCTGCTCCTCCTCCTCCTCCTCCTCTTCCTCCTCCACCTCCTCCACCTCCTCCTCCACCTCCTCCACCTCCTCCTCCTCCTCCTCCTCCTCCTCCTCCTCCTCCTCCTCCTCCTCCTCCTCCCCCTCCCCCTCCTTCTTCCCCCCTCCTCCTCCTCCTCCCCCCTCCTCCTCCTCCTCCTCCTCCTCCTCCTCCTCCTCCTCCTCCTCCTCCTCCTCCTCCTCCTTCTCCTTCTCCCCATCCGGGCCGACGGCGTGGCGCTGTGAAGCACTCTGCCGCGGCCGATCCGACCAGGTGGCGACTCCTTACCGATGCAGCCCGACACCCAGACCTCCTCGGGCAATGAAAAAATCACGACGGGATTTTTTTCCTTATTTTCGACCCCTAGAGCCCTAGAGGCCCTCGCCGGGCCCCAGGACTGTCAAAAAACGGCTCAGGATCTCAGGATAAGAAACCTGCCCCAGGGAGGGGAAATGAAAAAATCAGGACGTCGCATGTTTGGGTGCCGATCCGACCGATCCGATGCGGCCCGATACTCAAGCAGTGGCGAAGCGTCCTGGCTCGCCTATAGGCCTATCAGGCAATGTTCTAAGAACCTTTTCTGGTTTCCACGAGATGTTCTCAGAACAATTCTGACCGGGGCTTTCTTGTTTGAACACATTAGGTTTATGTTCTAAGAACCTTGTTTTTGTTCTTAGAACTTTTGGGGGTTCTAAGAAGATTTCGGGCTAGGCCTGTAGGAATGCCGGGACTGCTGGTCCCTGCTCAAGATACGTGCGTGGCGCTGTGAAGCACTCTGCCGCGGCCGATCCGACTAGGTTGCGACTCCTTGCCGATGCAGCCCGATCCGATGCACAGCTCGGTTCGAGGAGGTGTGCAGGTTCGATACTGCCTGATCCTGGTAGATGTCGCCGTCGGCGTGGTCGTCGTTCCAGGGTTGACGGCTTGCGTTCGGTTTTCGTTGCATGAGACGTCCGGGCGTTCCTCGCTGAAGCGGGGTCGACGTTCGAGTTTCGTCGCCGTTTTTCCCCGTCGTCCGTCGTCCGTCGCCCGTCGTCCGTCGTCCGTCGTCCGTCGTCGTCGTCGTCGTCGTCGTCGTCGTCGTCGTCGTCGTCGTCGTCGTCGTCGTCGTCGTCGTCGCCTTCGTCGTCGCTGCTGCCGTCGTCATCGTCGGCGCCGCCGCCGTCGTCGTATCTGCCGCCTTTGTCGCCGTCGTCGTCGCCCTCGTCGTCGCCGTCGCCGTCGCCGTCGTCGCCTTCGTCGCCGCTGCCGCCGTCATCGTCGTCGCCGCCGCCGCCGCCGTCGTCGTCGTCGCCGCCGTCGCCCTCGTCGTCGTCGCCGTCGCCGCCTCCTGCAGGAGGCCTTGGGGGGTGCACAGCGGGCGCACGCGTTGCCGCCGCCCCCGCGTGCGCCCTGCCAGCTCCGGATCTCATCTCCGGGACCCGAAGCTTCGCCCTTCTCCGTGGGCCGAGCCCCCTCTCTCCCCCCAATGCTGAGTCGGACCTGTCCCTCCACAGGGGGGAAATTCCAAGGATTCGCCCCAATCCCCCTTTTGGGGCGACGTTTTGATTTTTGTTCCCGCCCTTTTTTCCTAGCTTGAACTTTTCGCCCCAATCCCCCTGTAGGGGGACAGGCCCGACCCAGCCCTAGTGTGGCGGCACCCGGGCCAGCGAAACCGTTTTGGGAATCGTCCCGCCTCAGATCGTTTTTGAAACCGCTTGCTCACATCAGCGGTATCGGTACCTTTCGGTTTTCCAAGATTCCGATGGTTCGACGATCCGATGCGGCCCGATGTCAGCGTGGCGCTGTTGGGCATCCTGGCGCAGCCGACCCGATTCGGCTTCGATCCCGAGCCGATGCAAACCGATCCGATGCATCGATTCGATCCGATTCAGTGAACCGATGCTGACTGATCCTGCCATCCTCCAGAAAAGAAGCGAGGAAGTCAGAATCTTCAACTTTCGGAGGTCCGCGCGGATTTCCGTTGAACGGCGCTGGAGCCCCCTGACGGCGCATCCGGCGCCACCTCTGGCGCGCTCCGCGACCCCCAGGGAGGGGGGTGGGGGTTCAGCGCGGATCCGAGAAATCCGCGCGGACCTCCAACAGTTTATGTTGATGAAGTGTTTCTCGTTCTTCGTCCGTATCCCAAACCCAAATGCAATCAATGTTCGCAGTTGTACTCTGGCCATTGTCCAGCTTTCCTACATGGATCCCCGATCACCCACGTGGACCCTGGGCTTCAGGCCGTCGGTCCTGAGCTTGGATGCGGTGGCGACCACGACGGTGAATATGCCGGCGGGCCACCTGACCACCCTCTGCAACATGATGCGAGGCCCCCTGCTGGTGGGCGTTTTCCTACCGCGTGGAGACAGCCTGGAACACCACGCTTCCTGCGGCACAGATTCCACGCCGTGTGTCAGAGACAAGCCCTCGGCCGAGTTCTGTTTAGGCGATGTTTCAGCAGTTCCTCGCGCGTGCCCGTCCTCCCACTGCAGGCCAGGGCGGCCACGGCCACCGCTGACGTGGCCGCCCTGCACGCGATTGGGGTCTGCGCGCTCTTGAGCGTACATTGCGCTTGGTTTGAGTCTGGCCTGTCCCTCTACAGGGGGAATCTTCAAACATTGTCAACAAAAATAAGCAGGGGATGCTTTCTTTACTATTTTTGACCATTTGGGTGAATGTTTGGACTACTTTTTATTTTTCGCCCAAAGTCTGCCTGCAGGGGGACATGCCCGACCTAACGCTTGGCGCCCCCAAACCCCAGCACTGAGTGCTCCGCCGCCTTCCACGGCCATACGTCCGCGCGGCGGCCGCGGACCACCCGCGGGCTCCGCGCCTCATCCCGACCGGCCTCCAGAGGCCTCGCTCCAACCATCTGCGCTCTTCCTGTCTCCCGCTCCTCCCCTCCTCTTTCCCCACTCAGTGCTTGCACTGATTGGGGTCCGAGCGGAAGTGGAAAGATTTGGCGAAAGCTTCCCGCCGAGGATGGTAGCAGGCCGGGTTCCCGGGTTCCCGGCTCCGGGTTCCAGGGTGCCCGGTTCTTGGTTCCGGGCCGACGTCGGTGGGTTCTGGGCTCCCGGTCTCGAGGGTTCCCGGTCGATGTCTTCTCTGCGGGATTCGTCCGCTGCTATTGGTGTTTCCTTTTGCCCGCTCTCGGCTCGTGTGTCCTCGCCGGTCTCGAGGGTTCTCGGTCGACTTTCTCTGCGAAAACCATCCACTGATCTTGGTTTTTCTCTCTGCCCGCCCTCGGCTCGTGTGCCCTCGCGAGTTCGGCCAGCCCTTCGGTATACTGTTTTGCATTTTTTCCACTGATCTTGGTGTTTCTCTGTGCCCGCTCTCGGCTCGTGTGTCCTCGTGAGTTCGGCCAGCCCTTCGGTATATACTGTCAGCCTGTGTCTGGCCCGGCAGGCCGCGCCGGCGATCGTGCACTCTCGGGCTTCTGGGCTCGCGGCCCGAAGCCGGCACGATGTGTTTTGGGGCGGTTCGTGCCGTCCAGCTCGTCGTGTCTCTCCCTCCTCCTCCCTCTCTGCTCTTCTCCCTCTTTCTCCTCTCTCTCCTCCATCTTTTCTCGTCCATCGCTTCTCTATCCTCCCTCTCCTCCGTGTGTTCTCTTCTCCCTCCTCCTCGTCTCTCTCTCTCTCTCCCTCTCCCTCTGTCTCTCCTCCTCCTCCTCCTCCTCCACCTGTTCTGCTTGCTCCTGCTCCTAAGCAGGGGGGCAGGATCTGTCCGCGCTGGCCCGCGCCTGCGGTAAAGCGACATGCCACTTCTGGCAGTCCTGGCCTATCCTCGATTTGAGGTCGGTCCCCGTTGAAGCTTCCTGCTTTCGTCCTTCTCCTCCTCCTCCTCCTCCGGGCTCCTCTCTCCTTTCGCCTCACGCGGTGGGTTTATGTGTGTGTGACTACTTAGTGCATAGAGGATGAAATCTGCATGCCTGCCCGTTCCTTCATTCCCCGGATGCGCGCAACGGCTCGCTTATGGCAGGTTGGCTTGAGCGTTGCTCTAGTCTTTTTCCCTCCTCCTTCCTCCTCCTCCTCCTCCTCCTCCTCCTCCTCCTCCTCCTCCTTCCCCCCTCCTCCTCCTCCCCCTCCTCCTCCTCCTCCTCCTCCTCCTCCTCCTCCTCCTCCTCCTCCTCCTCCTCCTCCCCCAGGCGTTGTGAGTGTCTGTCCCGCGCGTGGGGTGAGGAAGAACACCGAGGAAGCGCACCGCTTCCGGTGGCAACCGCTTCTCCGGCCCGCCCGGCCCCCCCCCTATCACTGGCTGCTTCCCTTGAGCTCCCGGAGGCCGTTGCTTCAAGTGTCTGGCGATTCGCCAGGTTGTGGGGCCCGCCCGCCGCCCCCCCCCCCTTCTGGATACCTCGGGGGTGGACAGACCTCCTGCCCTGACGCGTCGATTCAGGAGTTGGCCGTGTTCGGTTCGCGAGAGGGCGTCGCGGCCGTCCTCTCTGCCGGTCCAGTTCCGTCGGTTTCGGTCCCGGGCTGTTTTCACTAAGGGGAGGTCTACGAAAGGGAGGTTTGTCCACCGCCGAATAAGCTGACCTTGTCGGTCGTGCAGGTCCGAAGGGGGTACGCAGGTCCGGTGCGCGCGTGGCTTGCAAGGGGCTGCCCCCACGCGAAGAGGTGAGGTCAGCCGCCGGCCCCTCCCCCCCCCCACCGAATAACCTGGGCTTCTCGCCGAAGCTTGGTTTTTTCTCGTAGAAGAAAGCAGTTATCAACAGGTCTATGCGGTCTGTTTCAATCCTCTCCCTCCCCCCCGAAAAATACAGACGTTGGCAGCGGACGAGAACGCTGGGGAGATTGACGCCTCTGACCTCATCAGTCTTGAGCCAGCTGCAAGCGTGCACGTGCCGGAAAAGCTGGGTGCATCTTCGGGAGCTTCGACATCCCACCCCACAAGTTCGGGGGCGTAAGGCCGAGGGGTGTGGATAAAGCCATGGCCTCCGCTTCTTCCCTCAACTCGTTCCAGGGCCCCCCCCCCCATCGCCCACCCACGTGCCTCGGTCCAATTGGCCCCCCTCTATTCGGCGCCACCGAGGGGGGAAGGCGAGCGCGAGTGGAAGGGGGTCGAGTCCATCAGGGCTTGACAGCTCTTCTCCAACCGACCTGCAAGGGTCGAGCCCGATGCCGTCGGGAACCTTGCAACGAAGCGTGCCGCGCCGCCGGTGCTGGCCCACCGCGCTCAGGAGGCGCGCCACGCCGACCACGTCCCCGTTCCCGGGCGTCCACGCCCCACTCCGTTCCCAGGCCTCCCGCCCCGCGGAGCGGAGCGCCACGCGCTCCGCTCGCAGGGCGCGGCGTGTTTCACTTTGGGCCGCCGCCGCGACGCGCGGAGCCAACGTTCCCCCCACGGCAGGTCAGTAGGCCCAGGCATCCGGCTGCTCCCATTTTTTTTGGGTGCGCGGACCCCGGAGGTCTGCACCACTTCCTTGGGGCCGGTTTTTCGTCCCGAGTCGTTTTGTTGACGCTCCCGAGGCCCGGCGAGGGCCCCCGGAGGCCGAAGACTGGCAAAAACCGCCTGCTCCATTTTTTGGGGAGCGTCGGATCTCAGGGGGCGGCCTCCCTCTTCAGACCCCCGATGGCATGATCTGTCCAGCACGTGGACCCCAGGGATCTCGACCCATTCCCCGGGACTGGCCTTTCATTCCGAGCTGTGACTCGACGGTCCCGGGGCCCCGCGAGGGCCCCCAACGGGTATGGGCGTTGGGGTTGCTGAGAGGGCTGGGGGTTCTCAGTGGATGCCGAGGTCGGTTAAACCTGGCTAATTTGTACTTTAAGCGGGTAACATATTCCCCCTGTGAGTTAGGGGAGGGAGCCAACTTAGCCCAGATTACGAAACTCCCTTTCAGCCACCTTGGACACATGTAGCCCACGTATAGGCTGGGTTCGGCCCGGTATAACCCAGCGTGGCATGCACCGATATTTCCCTTGCCCAGCTGACGCGAAATCTTGCCAACACTTGACGCCGTGTTTTTTCCATGCCCCGAGGATTTCGGGGCTTTGCGCGGCGCCCGACGCGAGCGCCGCCGCGGCCGAGGCCTCCCGCTGCGCCGCGGTCGCGGACTCCGCTCGCAGCCGGGCACAGGAGGCGCTCGACCAGGCGGCGCGCGCGGCAATGGCCCCCCGCCCTCCCGCCCTACCTCCCAGACCCCCGACGTCGTGATTTTTTCACAACGTCGACCCCCAGAGGTCTGGACCCCTTCCCCGGGACCGGCTTTTCGTCCTGAGTCGTTTTTTGACGCTCCCGAGGCCCGGTGAGGGCCCCCGGAGGCCGAAAATAGCGAAAAACCTTCCGTCGTGATTTTTTCACGACGCGAGGGGGTCGGGGCTGGGCGCTCACAATTCTATTCGAGGCGTTCCAGGAAGGGCCTTGCCTTCGAGGGTCGAAGGAGTGTTGCCGTCTCTGCTGCGGCGGAAGGTCGGCGGGAGGACGTCGCGCCAGGTCGGCGGAAGCAAAACGAGGCCGCCTCCGCAGGCGAGAGCCGGCGGGAGGTGGCGGAAATAAAAGATGCGCACCCAAGAGATGAACACATCTTTGGGTTCAGGGTTTCGGGAATCCGCCATCTGTCGCTGGAGAAGCTGCACGGTAGGCCCCTGGAGCTGGCTGGGGGTCGAAGGCGGCCCAGCACCTGGCTCCGGCGAGCAGGACAGGGGGGAAGAGGTTCGGAGGAAGTGGGCTCGAACCTGTTGTTTGCCTTTTCGGTTCTCCGGGGCCGTTTTCGGGGCCCCAGGTCTGTCAGAAACGCAGATGGGGCGGAAATGTTTAAACTCATGGTCCCCTGGAGGGATCTGGGGGCCGATTGTTTCGGGATTTGGCATCATCTCCCCTCCCGACCGATTGTCTGGGGTCCCAAACAGTTCAAGCACCCTCGCCACCTCCAACCACCACGGCCGTCTCGGCGCAGTCCCACGTCCTACCAGATCGGAGCCCACAGGGCTCCCGTTTTTCTTACACCCTGGCGATAGCAGGCTTTGACGGGGGGGGGGAGGTGGGGGCGAGGAAGTTCGCGCCGACGTCGCCTGGGAATTAGCTACTCCCAGCAAGTCCCAAGCAGCGGTCATAAATAGTGAGGAAGTCTCCAGCTCAACGCCTGGCCCGCCCTACCGTCCGGTCTCAGGGTGCGACAGGGAGGAGGAATTCATAAGGAACAGGAGCGGAGGGTGAGGAGGAGAGCTGAAGGAGGAGGAGGAGGAGGAGGAAGAGGAATGGAGAAGAGGGGGGGGGGGGACGAGGATGAGGATGAGGACATGATGATGCTGATGATGCTGCTGCTGCTGATGATGATGATGATGCTGAGGATGATGATGATGATGATGATGATGATGATGATGATGATGATGATGATGATGATGATGATGATGATGGTGATGGTGATGCTGATGCTGATGCTGATGATGATGATGATGATGATGATGATGATGATGATGCTGATGATGATGATGATGATGATGATGATGATGCTGCTGATGATGATGATGATGATGATCAGCATCATGATCATGATGTTGCTGATGCTCATGCTGATGCTGATGCTGATGCTGATCATGATGAAGATGATGATGATGCTGATGCTGATGAGGATGAGCATGAGCATGAGCATGAGGATGATTATGATGCTGATGATGATGATGGTGGTGGTGGTGGGGGTGATGATGATGGTGGTGGTGGTGATGATGATTCTGATGATGATGCTGATGCTGCTGATGATGATGATGATGATGATGCTGATGCTGATGCTGATGCTGATGCTGATGCTGCTGCTGCTGATGATGATGATGACGATGATGATGATGATGATGATGATGATGATGATGATGATGATGATGATGATGATGATGATGATGATGATGATGATGATGATGATGATGATGATGATGATGATGATGATGATGATGATGATGATGATGATGATGATGTGGAGGAGGAGGAGGAGGAGGAGAAGAGGAGGAGGAGGGTATAGAGAAGGGTAAGCAGGAGGGGGAGGAGTTGTGCATGAGAAGGAGGAGGAGGAGGAGAAGGAGGTGGACGTGGAGGAGGAGGAGGAGGAGGAGGAGGAGGAGGAGGAGAAGGAGGGGGAGGAGAAGGAGAAGGAGGAGGAGGAAGAGACTCCAACCTACCTTGAGGAGGCGGAGGGAGACGAGCCTCGAGCTTGCAGGAGGAGGAGGAGGAGAAGGAGGAGGAGAAGGAGGAGAACGGAGTGAGCGCGTGGCGGTAGGTCTGCCCGTTCAGACCGCCGCCGACGACGCCGCGACCCCCCCCCCCGCTTGCGCTCTCGAGGTGCCGGCCCGCCGCGCCAGCAGGAGCCGCCAGCGGGGGGCGCCGAAGCGTTCGCCGGAGTGCGAGCAGTGTCAGAGCCCCGAATCATCAGGGGTAACTCGGGTCAGGGATAACTCGGGTTCGTTTTTCGGGAATCCAAACCCGAGTTACCCCGGACCCGAGTTACCCCGGATAACTCGGGCGTCCAGAGCCCCACATCATCAGGGGTAACTCGGGTCAGGGCTAACTCGGGTTCCTTTTTCGGGAATCCAAACCCGAGTTACCCCGGACCCGAGTTACCCTGGATAACTCGGGCGCCCGACAGTGGCGGAGCGTCGTGATTAGCCTATAGGTTTACCAAACAATGTTCTAAGAACCTCTTGTGGTTCCCACGAAATGTTCTTAGAACCTGTCTAGCTGAGTCTGTCTTGTCTTTAGGACGTCGGTCTCATGTTCTAAGATCTCTTCTTAGAAGACTTCTGGGTTCTAAGAACATGTCGTGGTAGGCCTATAGGAATGCCGGGACGGTGGGTCCCTGCTCAAGGAGTGCCAGATGCGCCGGCGCCGGGCCGGTCAAGCTGCTCAGCCGTCGTCCGAGGGAGGGGGGTCAGAGCTCATGTCCTCTTCCAGCCTCCTCCTGGGCCCCTTGTCCTGCAGTCGGTTCCGTCCGCTGACCCGTCGCAGCGCTGGAGGAAGGTGAACGGCGCGATGGCGGGTGCGGTATTTGTGCTTCTCGCCGCGGGTTGGGGTCCCCAGGGGCCTTGGGATTGGCTCCATCCTTGTGGGGATCGCTACGCTGTCGCGGACTATGTTCTTGACGATGACGTTTACCCCGATCGAGGGCCTCCCTTGGTGCGGCCCCGAGGCGGTCGGCCTGGAAGGCCGCTTCGAAACAGTTTAACGGTCGAAGGTTAGAGAACGGAGCTGAGACTTCCGATCTTCTCAGGGCTCTGAGGGCCATGGCCAATAAGGTGTCTAACAAGTCCAGGGCAGGACAGTGCACTGTTGCAGCTGCGGGCTTGTGGCCCAGAGGGAGGTTGGCCCAAGCAGGGGTAAAGGTCGAGTCTAATATGTGTCCCAGGTGTGGCCGTGAGCCTGAGACTGATCTTCACCACTGTTAGGCCAGCCCTGAGAATGCCAGGCCGTTGCCAGGCCACGCAACACCTATTCGACCAGGCCGCGGCAGGAGCTGAGGAGCACCCTTGCTACTGGCCGAGGGGTATCATTCCCAAGACGTGGATTTTTCTATCCATGAGCCCCCCGACGACCTCGCCGTGAGGCTCGACCCATCGTTGCCAGCTTCCCCCCTGCTGCCTCCTGGCGTTTCCCCCCCGCCCTCCCCTGCGTGTCCCTGCGTGAAGGCGGGCGGCTCTGACCGGCGGGAGACGGCCCAGGGGGGGCCTTCCTCAGGACACCCGCTTCTCCGCAGAGCCTCCCAGGCCGTGGTCTCCGTCGATGGGGGGGAGCCGACTCAAGGGACTCGAAGGAGGTTCAAACGTCTGGAGATTTGGTGCCGCCCGCGCTGCCCAGGGCAGGGACCCCAAATGTCTCTCCGACTCCTCCTCCTCCTCCGCCTCCGCCTCCTCCTCCTCCTGCTCCTCCCCTCCTCCTCCCTGCTCCTCCTCCTCCTCCTCCTCCTCCTCCTCTCCTCCTCCTCCTCCTCCTCCTCCTCCTCCTCCTCCTCCTCCTCCTCCTCCTCCTCCTCCTCCTCCTCCTCCTCCTCCTCCGCATGCGTCCAGAAGGGCATTCTCCGGCTCGGGACCAAGGCGTGCTTGAGGCCTGAGTTCGGGGGCGGCAAAGAGGGGGGTGATGACCAGGGGGGGGGGATATCATGGCGGGGACCATGATGTTTCCTAGATTTCATGGCGCCTCTTCTTATTTCATTACGTCCCTGGCCCCCCGCTGGGCCGCGCACATGCCGCCGGTCATGATTTGCACCCCCCCTCTTGGACAGCCCCCTCTTGGCCGCTCCCGATCAGTGTAATCGAGACCTTTGGAATACGGTGAAAGGGGCCGGCCCTGGACAGGGATATCGAAGCTGTAAAGATCGAGAGCCGCGCGAATGAGTCAGATTCTGCGCGAGCTCACCTGTGGTGAGGTCCCTTTTCGCCTTCAGCACCCTGGCCGACCATCCTGCCGAGAAGATGTCTCCCAGGGCCCCAGTCCCAGCAGGAGCCGCTGCTGCCCTGCGCGAGCTCGAGGTGGAGTCAAAGGACACCCGCCGTCGCCTAGTCACCAGTTTGGCGGAGATGCCTGTTTCCCGACCCGTTTCTGAGTTGCGTTCGGCCCTCGGGACCTCTCGGCCCAAACTGGACATGAAGCAGGCTAGAGTTGACGCGCTCCACTCCCTTGGCCCTACCGACGGCGATCGCCTCCGCTGGCATTGCCGATCCTGTGGGTCCCAACCCCAGAGGAGGTCCAAGGGTGCCATTGCGAGGTGGCTTCGAAAGCCCTGCAGTGCCCCAGTGGTTGCTAATGCCTCCTGTCAGGCCCCTAACTCTGTGGCCCCAACCCGCCATGGCCCGACTGCGCACGCCTCTCACACAATGCGGTGGTGGGAGGTTGGGGTGGGCTCTCGAAAGGCATTGATGTTTGCCCGTTCGACCTGCCGTGGGCTCGGCACAGACCGCTACAGGCGAGGTGGGAAGTTGGCGCAGGAACGCCAGGCCCCCACACGCACGGGGCTGCCGTATTTGACGGCCCTCGAGCAGGGCCTCGCCCCGGACCGCGCGAAGAGTCGGCCCCCCTCCCAGGCGTGACCTCGCGGAGCCCCGCGCAGCGCCTCGCCTCGTCTCATGCACTGCCCCCTCTCTCTCCCCCTCCCTCCCTTGCCCCTGGTGGTCTCTGGCCGAGGCCCTGGGGCTCCGCAGCCCGCCTCCCCGCCGCCTCCCCGCCGTCGACGGACGAGGCCGCCTCCCCGCCTCCCCGCCCGGCAGGAGCGGGCGCCCCAGCCCCGCGGCGCAGCCGGGCTCGCCCGCGGCGTCGCCGGCGTCCCGCGGCACCAGGAGCCCCCTTTTTGTTGGAGCGTCGGAGGCAGGATGGGGGCTCTCCAGGTAGGCTCGGCCTATCGGAGTTCCAGCTCAGACCCTACTGCCTGGTCCGTCGCCCCCCACCTGATTCCTATGCCCCCCCCCCCCTATTTCCACGGCTGTGCCTATGCACATGCCTCCCCCCTGACTCCGATGCCCATGCCTATGCCTATGCCTATGCCCACGCCTATGCCTGTGCCTTGCGCTCGCTTACTTCCGCTTGCTTGCGCTTGCTTGCTTCCGCTTGCTTGCTTGTGCTTGCTTGAATTTTGCTCCTCCCGTCCTGCTACCGTCCTCCTTTCGTCCTCCTCCCATCCTCCTCTCGTCCTCCTCCTGTCCCTCCTATCTATTTGGAGCCAACGCGGGCTGACATGTTTTACAGTGGGTGCGCGAATTCCGAAACCACATGTTTTTCGTCAGCGTATCCCGGAGTTCTCCGCTCCGCGCGCTGCACGGCGACTTCCCGCAGGCGTGGAAGAAGCTGCTGCGTTCAGGGTTCTCTGGGTTTCCCCGGACTCCCCCTCGGGTGCACCCTGCGCGCGGGTTTTCGGGGTTGGGCTTCTTCCGAGTGCTTCTGTCGGCCGCGCACGCACTGTGCCTCCGAGCGATGCAACGCGCCTAGTGAGGACGCGCGCCTTCATCTAGGGTATGCCCTTGGCGTCTGCGGCCTGTCCGTTGCCGTTTTCGCTGGTCGCCCGCCGCCTCAAACGTTCCAACTTTGGCCCCCACGGGTCTTGCGTCCGTGCCACCCGTCCTTAATACGCGTTTTGATTGTGGCGGGCGTTGCAGGTGGGTGGGGTTAGGGACATGGGGGCGGTAACGTCACGTTTCGTGCGGCCGCCGTCTGGGGATGTGTGGGGGTGACCAGAGACAGCTCGGAGGTCAGCGCGAATCGCGACGCTGCCTGGGACCGGGGGGCGGCCAGAGCGGGTGACAGCCGCCACTGCGAATGATCAGGGACGATGTCTCGGAGGTTCACACCACCACCACCACCACAGGGCTCCTGTTGACCCCTCCGACTCGAGTTCTTTCGATTTCGATCGGTTCCGGTTGCGATTAGGTTCGACTTCGGATTCCGATTTGGATGTCAGCTCCTTCCTTCCTGGAGGCCGTACTAGCCTGCTGGCCTGCTGTCGATCTCCGTCGATTGGACTGCTCCCGACCTGTCCGCCGATTGCTGCCGATCCGATTCATGCCGATTCGATCCTGGGCTCTACTGGCACCACCAGCCTCCAGCGAGGGGGTCCACGAAGCTTCCTCGAGCTGGGGGCAGGGGGTGCCTCGAGCGAGAAGGGAGGGACCACACCACCAGGATGAAGCCGGGCCTGTCCTCCTACAGGGAGACTTGGGATGAACACTGAAAGATAATCAAAACATATTCCAAGATGGCAACAAATACCCCCCAAAATCGTCCCCAGGCTATTTTTTTACTATTCTCGAACATTCCTCCTGTAGATGGACAGGCCCGACCTCAACACCAGGAGATGGCCCTCCTTGGCGCCTCTCGCGCTTTGTGGTGGTGGTGGCTTCCAGCCAAGAATTCCCGACGCTAGATACTGTTCCACTGACGGCGAGTGGCTTCGAACCGTCGCGCGTCCCCTGCCCTTCCCTGCCCTCCCCCTCTCCCCCCCCCAAAAAACAAAAAACAATGTTCAATGCCGGCGCGTGGCTTCCAGCTGGTGCTTCGCGCGTTCCCTGCCCTCCTCTGCCCCTCCCCCTCCCCCTCCCAACAAAAACAAAACATGTTCAATGCCGGCGCGTGGCTTCCAGCTGGTGCTTCGCGCGTTCCCTGCCCTGCCCTGTCCCCTCCCCCTCCCCCTCCCAAAAAAGCAAAGCATGTTCAATGCCGGCGCGTGGCTTCCAGCTGGTGCTTCGCGCGTTCCCTGCCCTCCCCTGCCCCCTCCCCCTCCCCCCCCCAAAAAAAAAATGTTCCATGCCGGCGCGTTCCATCCTTTCGGCCCCCCGCGGCCCGTTCTCTTTGGGGCACCCCGCGCGGAG